AGAAGCATTCAACTAGAGACCAGAATGATTTGAGAACATTTGTACTTGTGCTCAACTGATTGGAGTTGGCTTAGAATATGACCACATCCTCAGCGTATTTCAAGGTCTTGGCTGGTGGGGCAGAGGGTAAGTCACTGATGAATGTGGAAAATAAACATGAAGGAAGCACATCACTCTGAAGGACTTCAGAATTATTCCGTGACGTTTTTGAAACAGTGACGTTTATTTTCTTTTGAATCCTTCTTGTGAAATAGTCGCTCAACCACGACAATCAAGTAATGGAACAATCGATCGACCGTAACCTTCGGAGAAGAAGTCGTGCAACGGAGTTGCAAGTGGAAGAATAACCAAGGAGACACAATAAACAGATTTTTGGGAAACCCCTAAAGATTTATAAACAAAGTGCATCAGTGAAAGGATAGTAGCATCCAAAGTACATCTATTTGGCTTATACGCAAACTCGAGGTGATCATTAGGAACATTAATATCAGACCGCAAGCGACTGCTCATAGCGTGCTCTACTAGTTCAACTCCATAGCAAGGAATGGCTATGGAACGAAAGCGTTTGGATAGAATACTAGATGAAGATGATTTAGGAATAGGAACAATGGTGACGGATCTCGAGGGATTAAAGAATAAACATCTGTATATATATATATATATATATTTGAACGCCAAAATTTCTGTGAGCGAATCACCGCTACGCTTGAGCATAGACAAAGTTGGACCATCGGGCTTACTGCACTCGTGGTTTTCGTAGTTTTGAGAAGAGGATAGACTTCATGTGTGACGGGGCCTATAGTAGATATGCAATCTGTGGCGTGCGGAGATGGACTATTGTTTGAAGGAAAAATGAATGCAGCACTGAAGCTGTCCACATCGATAGTTTTGTTTGTTGATTTATTTTTCTTATATCCGCACAGCAATTTGATCCCTTAACATAACTGCTTCTATATCCAACTTCAAGGTTTTTTTGATCACCGTCCTGATTTGCAAGGAAAACTGTTTGACAGTTGTTGGTGTATCTTAAACGCTTGTTATTTTTCTCTTGGAGCTTTTAGCAGCCCTTTGGACAGGACAGCACGAATTGACAACTACATTCACTGTTTCAGTAAACTGTTCAACCGAATGGAGAGATTGTTGAAAGGAAGACCGCAAGAAGACGATAGCAAGCGATTTCTTTAGGACATGTCTGTCGGTTGGAAGATTCCGAATTTTTATGCTCAGCTGTTTTGTCTCAATTAAAGCGAGGTACGCTAACCGAGAGTAGACTTTTGGCCTATGACACGGGAAGCAGTAGTCGTTCGTGGAGAGCCTTCAATTTTCGAGAGAGAATATTAGGATGGTTAGTGATAACCTTGTCCAATACAGCGTCTGATGTGTGTTAGAGAAGGATCTGCCAGACCAAAAGAAAGTAAAGGTTGGGTTGATCCATGACTAAAACCATCAACAATTAAGATTAACTTATCATCAATAAGGGGAGTAATGAAGAGAATGAATCTATCATACAAGGAGCTAGTATCGATTTGTGAGCGAAAAGGAGCAATGTAAAGATTGACAATGGTCATTCGTCGAAAAGGGGAGAACTTATGTCGACACGAAACGGTGAGGCACTCAATAACATTAGAGGAAGGATACAACATTTCGGATTTACGGCACCAAATGGAGCTCTTGTAGGTAATAACCTCACCTTTATCCTTCACGCTTCTTTCTCCGTATGCGAAAACTCGTGAAGCCGGCCATGTTGACCAGCGAATTTTTCTGTTTTGGTTCAACCCGGTTTCCTGTGTGCATTGCACACGTGTTCATGTGCACGCAATTCGCTAGCAGATCTGTGAGGTTAGTCGATTTGCTAAACGGCGGGCGAATGTCGGATCTGATGAATAAGGGAGCGGTCATCTTCACAGATGTGTGCAGGAGCAGCGTGCCACCCGGAATGCCTACCTTTCTTGCTCCAACCAGGAAATTCAGTTCAGATGAACTCATTAGAGTTGAATTGCACAAAACAAGAAAGATTATCTTTTGCTCGTAGTAATAATTCCCTGGGATACAAACGGCGGAAGAATTAGAAATTGNAAATTGCTGTAATTAACACAAACTTAGCGCAGCCAGTCGAAGGGCTCGCTTACCATATGTTAAGCGTTCAAACTATACAGGCTGTGATTGGCTGTGGTATTATGTAGCAGTTTTCCGCGTTTAGTGAACTTTAAATAGCTGCGTTGAAGCTTTATAGATTGGTATCCCCTTGTAACGTAGGCGAATTGCGTGTTCTTTTCACACTGATAACACCACCCACCAAGTCCTAACATTACAAACACTTGAGGAATAGTATGCAGTTTCGGGAGTATGCCCATGCGTCAAACGTGTAACTCCCAAAACCCAATGAAATTTGGTGCTTTTAGCTTGTGACCTCACTGAGGATACGCCTTTATGCAAACGACTTTCTATTATGATGCAACAGGACTTGGTTTCGGCTACTCCAGCTTTGAAGGTCGCAGATTGTTGAACCTTTCGTGATAACATGAATTTCAATTTAGGAAATGCGAAGCATATTTCTAGAGCTCCCGGAGTTGATCATTGGTCTAAGCATTTCCACATGGATAAAAAAGGAATTTGGGGAATCGGCTGATCCTGTGCCTGTCGACTCATAAATAATCGCAATGGTGGACATATACGAAAAGACATTAGGCTTCGATTTGGAAAGAAAACTAGACCAACTAGCTGTTGTGGATCGCGTATTTTTATATTTTCAAACAATGATCCTCCTATTTCATCATGCAGCTGGAACGATAATCCCATTTTGTAGAAAGATGTCCAGTTTCCTTTCAGTAAATGTAATAGCCAGATATATTAGTCCTGGTGATCTATCATTGACACTTGTATAGCTTGATGCTATTGCTCCGACGGGCGCCTTCTTTTTATAACACAACTCTATACATACATTCTATTTCTGCTTGCTTTAGATCCGATAAAATTATTTCCATTCATACGAAAACATCCAAACCATTTGTAAATAGTTTGGAAGTGTAAGCGGTAGCGGTTTTGTTAACTGTCAATGAGCTTTCCAATTCACCTATTTAAACATGCCGTAGATGTAGCCGTTAGCTAGTTTATTTGTGTCCCAGGATTCTCAAAATTTCTCCCGCAATCTGCCCCATATTAATGATTTTTCTATTTCGTCTGGCTTGTTCCTCAATTTACGAAAGTGCTTCAAATGCATTCCTATTCTCTCGCGGTCCACTTGTTCCTAAGATCCTACGATGAACGCATAACCTTTGGAATTAGAGTACATTATGAAAATGAAATTTATTTTATCCCGGCTTGCTACCTTATCTTATGTGATTTCACGTATGTATGAGTGTATTTTTTATGGGAGACACCTGATCACAAAGATAACTTCTTGAACCCGTCTGATTTGCGATAATTCGACATCCGAATGGATTCCCATTCACTCTCCGACGAAAACCCTATTTCACTCCTTCCGGTCAGCCTCACCTATCTGTTTCGTCCATAACTTTCCTCTTACATTCTACTGGTTTTCAATTATTGTTGATGTCACTTTCTTTAGTCTTTTGTTACAGTGCAATATTCATCTCATTGTTGTAGCCAAAGTTTGTGTGCTGAACTTTACGTTTTGGGTCAGGCTTCATGGTCCTCTCATTGCACTGCGCAGTCGCGTTAATTTCTAAGAAATTGTAAGAATCATCTTTGTTTCTGTTCAGTTGCTCAGGAGACAAATAATTCTAGTTGGAAAGTGACTGCTAACAATGAGGTCTAATTAAACGCACACTTGGTCTAGCGTAATTGAATTTCAAAACAGCCGCATCGCATTTCCTTGGGACGACCAATAATTGCGTAACGCGACTACCGTTTCTGTTTCGTCTCACTCCGTGGTATTGCGACGAATTGTACTTGATTTGATTTCACTGATTCGAGTCTGTATCCAATGTTGGTGTTTGTGTTCATACGCAATTTCCCGTTGATCACTTGATTGCATGCCAATTAAGAAAAATTCTGAAATGCCAATTCTTGAAATCCGCTACCTCCCAATTCGCTGCTCTTTATTATGGTAACAAAAATTTTAGTGGGAAATTGACTATAAACATCCTATTCAAAATTGCCAAAAGAGAGACAGGAATCGTGTTGTTGATAAGACCCGAAAAATTCAATTTCAGTTCTTCAAATAGTTGGTTGGCAGATTTGAAATTTGTATGTCGATTGTGAAAAGTTCAGTAGCCTCGGTGGGCTTCGAACCCACGCATGCCTCTGCAAGTTAGATGGGTAAATTCAAATGTGCCATCGGTGTGGCTTCATAGCTCAGCTGGTAGAGCATGCCCGTACAAAGCATAGGCGGCGTTCATGCGTGGGTTTGAATCCCACCGAGGCTACTGAACTTTTCACAACCGGCATACACTTTCAATTCACCGAAAACGTTCCCAAGTAATCTGTTTTGTACTTCAGTTTTTGTAGAGTTTGGTATGATTTATCAGAAATTTACTGTTTTATGTGTAGGGGGGAAACTAAAGCATTTAGCCGTTGAAAAAATTACCCACTCAAACTAATTCGGTAGTTGTTTTTCACAACCATTGAGTACCATCTTGGTGAAATCAAGCACTTCGAAACTGTTCAGTGTATTTGACTTGTGATGAGCGAAATGAGGCGGTTTTTTCTCTCCCTCCCTGGACAGATCGCTTTTCTGGCGATCTTCATCGCCTCTAATGTCATTTTCCCGGTGTGTTTGTTGAGTAGTGAACTGCTTTCTACTTTCTATTAATTTTTATCGCTGAAAATTGATCGTTCGGGTACTTTCACCTACTTACATACCTTCACTTGACTTACACATTTTCGAGACAACACATTTTTATCGTTTTTCAGTCCACTCTATGTGCGACCACTCACCTGTTTACTGCGTAGTATTTTGTGCTGTGAAACCACTCGTCCTCCCCCTCACTATTGCACTATCCTGATATTTTTCATTATTCTCGCATTCACTTTTTAAGGGACACGAATTTGATGTATCTGAACACAGTCTATTGTTTGGGGCATATGGGCGTGGAATTGGCCGATGTACCACATACACAGGAATTGGTGCTACAATTTCTTCAACAAAACCTGAACCCATCCAAACTGTTGCCCGAGTTGGAGGTGTCCACACTGGAACAGTTGGGTTGCATGGTGATTGCTGGATGCGTAAGTTACCTCGTGCTTCACCGATTGAAGAGATGCTATGAAGTTTCTTTTCATGGTCTTTAAATCAGACACGCTTAATCATTTTTTTCTTTTGTTAGTCACTTATATGGAATGTATATAGTGATACAATCATTTTTCAGGATAAGGAAAGCGGTCAATCAAATAGCTGCCATGTGACAAATAGGAAATGGGGAAATCTAGACACTGGCGGTGCCAGGATTAGAACACTTCCTCCGGTTCGATAAGTTGGTGAACTTACCGCTTGTCGATCCTGTTTAATTTCGGCAGAGTGTTGGAGGACGCCTTGTTGCTCATTAGCAGCTCAGGACATCTTTTCCGTTGCATTTTGAATCATTAGACTTCACTTGCTTCATAGTAGGTCCTCAGCAGCTGCGTTCCACACATCACCTCACGATGTAATAAACGAGGAAATTGGCCCATTCATTTGGTCACTATTTTATCCATACTTTCCTACTGTCAATATCTGTGAATTCATTTAAATTATCACCACTGGTGCGATTTTCCGAAAAGGAGAAAATATTGATCTAGTGTCCTCTGCTCTCATTTTCGTTGTTGTGGAGTTCAAACTTTCAATCATTCCGACTTGAGTTTTACTCCATTGAAGAAAAAAAGTCAGCCAAATCTGCATCATGTGCAAACAGGAGGTATAAATTGGGGCATTCACATGTGTCATCTCTTGAATTTTGTTGAATCGCCTATCATGGTTTTTCGATAAGTATCACTGTGGTTGTAGTGATAGGTACCATTTGCTGTTATTTCCGCTGTTCGTTTCCGGGTGGCATTTACTGAACTACCTGTAAATAGAGAGGAATATCTTATCCACCTCAATGCCTGGTTTTTACCTNTTAGGTTAGTACAAGCATGCTCCCGGTAACCCAAGAGCATTCTCCAGGTTGTGTACCTGCTTCAGTACAATTCTGTGATCAAATGCTTATTACGTTTGCCGTCAATCGCTTTTAATTTTAGTGGTGCTAAATTAATAAGAAAGTTTACAATCATGTCTACAATTAGGACACATTCGTAATCAATAGTCACTGCTGGTAACACGTTCACTTACGCGATCAACCTTACCAATTCTACCTCCACCTCTGTTACTTTTTTTTTTCTGGCGATTCAATCAAGCTTCATTTCATTTTCATTTTACTTCCTTTTATTGAGTATACGAAGATACAATTTTCCGGAACGGGGTAGCGGCCAATCAAAGGGCTGCCATACAACACAAGTTGTAGCTTACTGACCAGAATATGAACATAACTGCATT